TGGTAGTGGTAGTGGTAGTGGTAGTAGTTGTAGTTGTAGTAGTGGTAGTGATTGTAGTGGTAGTGGTTGTAGTGGTAGTGGTTGTAGTTGTAGTTGTAGTAGTGGTAGTGGTAGTGGTTGTGGTAGTGGTTGTAGTTGTGGTAGTGGTTGTAGTTGTAGTTGTAGTAGTGGTAGTGGTGGTAGTAGTAGTAGTAGTAGTAGTAGTAGTAGTAGTAGTTGTAGTAGTAGTAGTAGTAGTAGTAGTGGTTGTAGTTGTAGTTGTGGTAGTGGTTGTAGTTGTAATTGTAGTAGTGGTAGTAGTGGTAGTAGTAGTAGTAGTAGTAGTAGTAGTAGTAGTAGTAGTAGTAGTAGTAGTAGTATTAGTAGTAGTTGTAGTATTAGTAGTAGTAGTAGTATTAGTAGTAGTAGTAGTAGTAGTAGTAGTAGTATTAGTATTAGTAGTAGTTGTAGTAGTAGTAGTAGTAGTAGTAGTAGCAGTTAATAATATATTTATATCGTGTCTAAAGCCCTTCAATAGTGTTTTATTAGATGTGTTATATTCACGGTCTACTGTATATTTTCTACTTTTTAATGCTGATTTAAATTCTATTTTGGGATGTTTAAATTCCAGTATTGTTTATTTACACTCTTCAATTGCTACTTATGTGCAATGCCTTGTTTTGTTGTTGTTTACGCTGCTGAAATGCAAACATGTCCCAATTTGAGATCAATAACGTACCTCTTCTCTTATTGCTATGTAAATGAATGTCCTTTTTAAGTTGTTAGGTATCTAATAGGGGAAGTATCTTCTCATATCTCCTACATAATTCTTTCTTAAATTATCTCTTTTTTATGTGCAAATAACAGAAATCAGCGGGCGTTATTCAGGCTTTGCAGCTCCGAAAATAGGTGCTTTTCGAGTGTGAATATTGGTCTAAAATAAGGAGGTTTCTTCATTTATCTCCTGGATAGTGTCCCAACTTAATAGGGCTTTTCAAATATGCTAATAAACACATCTGCATGCACTGTTTAGGCTCTGCAGTTCCATCTCAACTTAAAGAAAGTAGGAGTTGCAGAGCAGTGAAACTCACCTCTTGGTCGAGGAGGATGTTTTCTGGCTTCAAGTCTCTGGAGAAAATAAAGATAAATAAATCAAATGCAGTGAATTAAACGCAGAGTCTAAATTACTACCCCATACCACAGATACAATAACAATAATGTAGACGTTTTGTGTCATGACTACAATGACAGGAATTCAAATATGAATACAAATCAGATTCATCAGAACATAAAAGTATATAAATTCTGATTAACTGTAGAATATAGTTTTGTAATCAAACTCAAATAACTCCCAAAAACAATCGTAAAAGTGGAGTTACAGCCCTTAAATATTACATTTACACCTAAACCTCATGGCTTCATTGTGTGATTTGATAAGGCTTGACAGTAGATGTAATTAACAAACAGTTTGATCAATAATAATAAAGGTCTCTTCACTTTAATCTCACCTGTACACGATGTTGAGGGAGTGTAAATATCCCAGAGCGCTCGCCATCTCTGAGATATAGAATTTGGCCCTGGGTTCTGGAAAGGTTCTCTCCTTCTGGAGATGGAAGAACAGCTGAGAGGAAGGAGAGCAGTTCGATTAGTGACAGGAAGTCAACAAACACCTGAGCTTACAGACAGAGAGATATCTGAGATAGAAGAGGTACGCTTACCCCCAAAACATGTGTTTATTGTCTTAAATCAAGTCAAAGAAATCTTGATAATCGCCCAGTTCTGTACGACTTTGTCTGCGCTTTTTGAGTTCTGAACATTTGAGTTTTTTCTCCCAGAATATTTGACCTTTTCTGGAGATTTAAATAAGAAATCTGGTGAATTTACGACTTTAAATGTTGCATATAACGCCATGTGCATAATCATACATTTCTAGAAGTTGAATGTCTCTTTGAAGACATTTAGAGACTCTTTGAGCACGTCTCTTTGTGTTGCATTGCTTTGTAGACGTTCTCTCTGTGGTCATTTCCTGTGTCCTTGTAGAAGAGGCTTACGGTGGTCCTTTTGTGCCTTAATGGTCAATTAATGTCTCTTTCAGGCCTGTTATAGAGTATGTTGCGTCTTCTCATGGCCTTTCATGTCTCTCTTTGGTCCTTTCCTGTGTCCTTGATGACGTTTTGAGGCTTGTTTTGGTTGTTTTTCAATGCTTTGTGTCTCTTTTTGGATATTTAGTTTCTCTTCATAGACATGTTGAGGCTTAGTGCGGTCTTTTTGTGCCTTATTGGTCGATTAGCGTCTCTTTTAGGACGTTTCAGGCCTCTTTTAGATTATTTTGTGCCTTTTCGTAGACATTTTCTGTCTCTTTTTAGTTGTTTTGTGAGTTTCCACCTATAAAGTCTCTTTTAGGCCACTTTTAGATTATTTTGCGTCTTTTCGTGGACATTCTCATTCTCTTTCTGGCCATTTCCTGTGTCCTTGCTGACGTTTTGAGGCTTGATTTGGTTGTTTTTCGCTAAATGGTTGTTGAATGTCTCTTTAAGGACGTTTCGGCCACTTTTATATGATTTTTGTGCCTTTTCGGTCTCTTTCTGGTTGTTTTGGGATATTTCTACTACAAAATATACATGAGCAATTCCTTCAAACTAAGGCTAATGGCGGGCTTTAACATGTTGAACCCTGTATCGACAGGATAAGTGCTAGCCTGGGTCATGCTAATGGTGTTTTGAACAGCTTTCCTTCACAGTTACTCAGAGTTTCAGTGACTCTCAGGGAGGATTCACACCACGTCTGACGCATCACTTCCTGTTTCCTCTCTCAGCTCTTTCGAACCCGATGACTCAGATATGTGTGACAGCGTTACTCATAGAAACACAAACACTCACTTCTCCTCCGTTCACAAAGTCCAGCACGAAGTAGAGCTTGTCCGCGGTCTGGAAGGAATAATGAAGTCCAACCAGGAAGGGATGTTTCACGTTCTTCAGAAGCACGTTGCGCTCCGCCATGATGTGCTTTTGCTGATTGGAGAGCAGAGTTCATTGATAGTGTTGTATCTTATACTCTGAAGCTGCTCTGTCCCTGCATTGAGATCCATTTCACTTTATATTGACTTTCTTTATTACTTTATTAAATATAAGAAAACACACACACACTTTGTCCCTGAATCATTCCTCAGTTTCTCTGAAGACTTTGCTCCACAGATATTCTGAAATGTGACGGTGTAGAGTTACCTCTTTCCTGTTGAGGATGACCTTCTTCTGTAACACTTTGACGGCGTAGAACTTCTCGTCGTGCTTTCGTTTAGCGAGGAACACCTGCGTGAAGAGAAGCTCGTTAACAAGAGGCTCGTTAAAGAGAAGTGCGTTAACCAGACTCTCACTTCCTGCGTGGGAATATCCCGACACATAGAGAACCAGAACTGATGCTACCACACAGAAAGCTGCCTAACTTATGATAAAACTACTTTAAAGATGCATAAAGGATCAGAAATACTTAATTTGTTGGAAAATAATAAAGGAAACTCCCGGTGTTACAACAGCAAAGAGACGGAGCAGATAGAAGGCAATAGTAAAAGTAGACTATCAATAAAGTGGATACGCAGCAGCAGTGTCATAGCGCTGGCATTTTATGTATACGGTTTATATATATTTGGGATAATGTGCTCTAGGGAAACAGAAAGTTAACCAGACTCTCACTTCCTGCGTGGGGATATCCCGACACATAGAGAACCAGAACTGATGCTACCACACAGAAAACTGCCTAACGTGACTCAAAAACAACAACAACAACATGTCAGACAAAAACAACAACAAATACATGTCAGACATCACGTTTCTGCAAAGATATCTTATAAAACGTGCTTTCTAGAGGATAAAACTACATTTAGGAGGCTTACAGAATCAGAAAGTAATACGGGAAATTCCCGGCGTTACAACGGAAAAGAGACGGAGCAGATAAAAGCCAATACTAAAAGTAGACTAACATATCAATAAAGTGTATTCTGTACATCGCAGTGTAGAGATGCAGTTTATATATATATATGTATTTACTCTAAACAGAGAGTGCTTTTTATATTCACATACCTTCCCAAAACTCCCCTTTCCTATGACTTTCAGAAAGTCAAAGTCTGTGGGCTTGGCTCTGAAACACAAAAAGAAAACACATTAATGTACAAATAGAAATATATGCGGTTAAACACACTTTGTTAGCTTTGTGGTAAACATTAGGTGTTAGACGTGTAAATATTAGATAGCTGTTGTGCAGTCGTTGCATTACAGAGTAGGAAAGAGTGCATAGATATAGATCTATAACGTTATCAGTGAGTTGAAATGTAGACAGAGAGTGGACAGGCGACTTACTGAGGGTTTCCAGAGGGTCCCAGGTTAATGTTTCTGGAGGTAGAGTTGCTCTGAAGACAAGGACATAATATAGATGAGTTTGGACTCTTAATAAGGCTTCTGTGTAGTTCCCCCTCTTCTTCAATCAGTGTTTCTGCGCACATGAGTTCATGTTTATCTCCTTAAAAACAACCTTCTAGCAACAAATGAGAGTTCACACCCTGTGCTCATTTCCTGTGTCCTGGCAGTCTAGTTTTGGTTGTTTCTCAATGCTTTGTGTCTCTTCATAGACAGTTTGAGTCTTAGTGTGGTCCTTTTGAGCCTTAATGGTCGTCTAGCGTCTCTTTTAGGACGGCTCAGGCCTCTTTTAGATTATTTTGCATCTCGTCAGGGACAGTTTGTGTCTCTTTTGGGTCATTTCCTGTGTCCTTGTAGACGTTTTGGGTTAGGGTTACCCGTTTTGGGTTAGGGTTACCCAGCGGTCAAAGGGTTTTCTTTCAGGTGATTTCATTCATTTCTATCTGTATTTATTTTGAGTGCATTTAGACTGTTTTAAAGTTTTAAAGGAAGTCATTGATCTAAAGTGGTTAAAAAGGGACTCACTCTGTCGTCTTCGTCCTCAGAGGCGTCAGAAAAGTGCTGCATTTTGTCCATCAGCAGAAACTCCCTCACGTCTGGCCTGGAGATCAGGAATAAAGCAACATAATCATCAACATGTCCATCTGTTAGGTCCCTGAAGGCATCACTGCTGATACAAGGTCCCTGAAGGCATCACTGCTGATACAAGTCATTATATATTTCATATCAAGGCCTCACTGGTTGCAGAGCTGAGAGACGATCCTCTTGATGAACTCGTGCAGCCCGGCTCGTCTCTGCTTTATGAACTCTGCAGAACATTCAGATATGATTTAATACCCGTGCAAACAGAGAGATGCAACGTGCGATTAACGATCAATTTCTAGATAAAAGGTCAGAACATATTGAAAAATGTCTTGTTTTGTCAGTTTTAACAACCATATATTCAATTTAACATGATATCAAACAGAGAATCTCCAGCATGTAGAGGCTGGAAACTGAATTTTAACACATGCCTTGTATTTAATGAGCAGTTTGTACATTATTATTCTATATTTCAGATTAGAGGACGAAATCCACTAAATACACGTTTTTAATGTTTGAACGCCTTTACGGTGGCACATACCGATGTACGATGTACGGTACGATGGCACATACCGATGTACGGTACGATGGCACGTACCGATGTACGGTACGATGGCACATACCGACGTACGGTACGATGGCACGCACCGACGTACGGTACGATGGCACGTACCGACGTACGGTACGATGGCACATACCGATGTACGATGGCACATACCGATGTACGGTGGCACATACCGATGTATGATGTACGGTACGATGGCACATACCGATGTACGGTACGATGGAACATACCGATGTACGATGTACGGTACGATGGCACGTACCGATGTACGGTACGATGGCACATACCGACGTACGGTACGATGGCACGCACCGACGTACGGTACGATGGCACGTACCGACGTACGGTACGATGGCACATACCGATGTACGATGGCACATACCGATGTACGATGGCACATACCGATGTACGGTGGCACATACCGATGTATGATGTACGGTACGATGGCACATACCGATGTACGGTACGATGGAACATACCGATGTACGATGTACGGTACGATGGCACGTACCGATGTACGGTACGATGGCACATACCGATGTACGGTACATGGCACATACCGATGTACGATGGCACATACCGANCTGCCAGCGCAACGCCCCCCCAGATCTGGTGCCCTAGGCAAGTGTTTTTCAAAGTGGGGGCCGCCAGGGGGGTCACGCAAAGTTTGAGGGAATTGGGATTTTTTTTTTTTTTTTAAAGTTACATTTTTTTTTTTTTTAGATGTTATTAATATCTGCATATCTATCAATATATGTGTCCATTGATGCCAATCTTTTAATATTTTATTTTTATTAATATTTATTTTATTTGATTGTTTTTAAATCACACGACCGCCCTTCAAGCCAATCAGAATCGAGCTGCCACTACTGAGAGTGAAACTGAGTATCTGCTCAGCTTTTGGAGCAAGTGAGAGCTGAACATTTCGCTCTGCAGCTGGATGAGAGCACGGATGTAGCAAATATTGTTGTTTATACATATGTTAATTGTTAATATTACTGTATTATAATGTTATTAAGGCATAAGTAGCTTTCAAAAATGCTAAAAATATATGTTAATTGTTCATATTACTGTTCAAAATTATATAATGTTATAAAGACAGAAATCACTTTAAAAATGCTTTAAATATGTTTACTGTTGATATTACTGTTTAATATTGTGTTAAGAATGTTTATAACAGAACAAACAATGAATGTAATGAATGACAAACAAAAGATAGATACAAAAAATGTTTAGAAGAATAATTGATTATTAATTGTTAATACAAATATACATTAAGAAAATGTATTAAGCTGTATGATTAATTAGTCATATTTTCCATCAGAATGTACTCATCATTTAAAAAAAAAATTGCAACAGGGGGGTCCCCGCCAGAGGATAATGCTATATGGGGGTCCTTGGCATGGCAAAGTTTGGGAACCCCTGCTCTACAGTACAGGTTAGCATCGAGTGTTAGCGAGGCTTGCTAATGTAAACAAAGACGAGATTACGTCCAAAACACGTCAGGCATTGTTTCTGATAGCAACTTTCTCTGGATCCACCATCCAAAATTACGTCATATCGGCAGCAAATCTGTATCCGCCCGTTGTACCCCCGTTTTTTTAAAGATTTGGGTATGGAGGAAAAGCAGAGAAAGGGTTTTATTTTCTGACACTGCGTGACTTCCCCGACGCAGCGAGTGCACTTTGCATGATAGGTCCCCTACAATTACATGCAGTTACAATTTGAATGCCAGACTTTTGCTTATAACACAGTAGGCCTACTGCTTAAGTAAAGATCTGGATATTTCTTCCACCACTGAACAGAACTGATTTCTGTTTTTATGAAAAGACTGTGGTGCAGAGTTTACATATCCAAAAGTGGCCTAAGATTGGAGTCAAGTAGCCTACCCTTAGTGTGCAGTATGCTAAGTGGACGGTTGTGTCTTTTTTTGTAATAATGAGATGCTATTTGGTGTGGTTGTTCTCTCAGTGTACTTTCTAGTGGATTTTGCAGCGGTTAGATGTTGGTTAGGACAGTACAAACAAATTGGTGATGCTTGAGAAGGCACACAGTAACTATATGTCTATTACAGTTCTGTTTTCTCAACTAAGACGACAAAATTCACTACGCAGGCCGGACCATGTACTTATACTACACTCTGTATATTTTGATCAGACTTAATCTCTCTGAGTCTGCAAAAGTGGTGAGTGTTCTTGGTCCGGACCTGTTGTGGGTTTACGGGAAAGGCCTCAGTGTGGAGAGCCGCAGCGGGACTCAGAGGTTGTAATTTGTCAGTTTTGGGTGTGTCAGTCAAACCAACCCTTGACACAAAAATGTAATTCCAGCATTATCAGTGTGTGTGTGTTTCTGTGCATTCCTGTATCTTCTCCAGGTTCCTCTCCATCCTGTGAGGTGTTACAATGGAGCTCGAGTCAGCCTTCCCCACAGCTTTATCAGTCCATTCCTCACCCAGGCCTCACCTCCATCCACCCCTTCACGGCCTCTACTGGGATCAGTAAGTGGACTCTTATATCAAAACCTGCTTTAATGTAAATGTTGCTTTTTTATTTGTTTCAGTTATGTCTGAAAAGGGCCCCTATTATGCTTTTTAGGGTTTCCCCTTTCCTCTAGTGTGTTATATAGGTTTTTGTGCATGTAAATGGTCGGCAAAGGCTAAAATCCCCAAGTTCCCTCCAGAGGGAGCTCTGAATTACTTTGTTTACTTCCCTTAAATAATGACATCACGGTGTAACACTAGTGGTTCCATTGGCTAGAGCTCCAACACATTGTACATGATAGGATAAGGGGCGGTTCATCTCTAAGCGGTTGACCAATCACAACAGAGCCGGCCAGCTAACCAATCAGAGCAGACTGGGCTCTGGTTTCAGACAGAGGGTGAAAAGAGGTGCTGCAGCACAGGCAGTATGAGAAAAATAAAGAGCTTTTTGAACATTAAAGCATGGAGGCATGTCCCAGTAAATCAGTTGACCAGTAGCCCTGATTAAAATACTTTTCTTTCTCATAGCTTATGCTCTGCTAGCTGGAAGCAATGGCTCGTCTCTCTACTCCTGGAGGTCTGATGTCAACCTGTTTGCCATGATCCTGAGGGTCCCTCCAGCCGACAGCTTCCTCTCTCTGGGGGTCCCGTCCCTCAACACCACCAAGACCCTCTTGGCTTCCTCTGAGGAGAACAGCTCCACTGTTTATGAATTCACTTCTGTCTCCAATCAGTCTGATTTCATACCCAGGTACCCCCATTGTTTTTATACAGGCTCATTTTTGCCCCGAAATACAAATCCAGTTAAGTTCCAGTTAAATAATGCATGCTTTGTTTTTCTTTATTCCTCACATTCAGTTTCGGGGAGTTGTTCTTTGCCCCAGGGGACAGCGAGCTGGAGATAGCAGTGAACATCGTGGATGATGACATCCCTGAGGAGCAGGAGTATTTCCAGGTCAGCCTGAAGAACCCGAAGGGCGGGGCGGAGATTGGGTTTGGAGGTCAGGTGACCGTCATCGTCCCAGCCAATGACGATGCACATGGAGTCATCGGCTTTGCTCAGGTGAGCAGAGAAAACCTTTTTACATTAGAGAGCTCATGCTTTTTTATGTTTAGTAGTCTATTACAAGTTTGTGCGCCTAACAAAAAGGTGTCAGGAATCTAAAACAAGGTTTACAGAACACAGGCCTTACTTATTTTTAAAGCTCAATCAAGGAGTTATCTGAATTTAATGTGTCAAAGAAATACATAGCTAAGTATTTTTGAAAAAGTAAATGTTGTTGTCTGTGTTAGCTGGTATTTTCATTTCACCCTTTCATCTATTGTAAAACCTCAGTGTTTTGAAACCACATCAGTATAATTTCAAGGGTACCTTTTAATCATTACAAAATGCTCTCTTAATGCAGATATATATTCTTATTTCCCCTCTTTAGAATTCCCTATCTGTGGAGGTGGAGGAGTTGGAGCAAAATAATCAGATTTCTCTGAGTGTGGAGAGGAAGAGAGGGACGTTTGGCAGACTGACCGTTCACTGGGCGGCCAGCGACAATCTGGCAGACATTTACCCAACTTCAGGAGTGGTGAGTAAACCTTTCCCCTCCTTAATAAATAATACACTTCATTTCACATAAAATAAACAATGGCCAAATCTCAAAACAACGTCTCAACTACGTTCAGTAAGGTTAAAGGTCCCCTATTACACTGTTTTTCATCAATATATTCCAGGTCTCAGATATATACAAACATGTCTCTGAAGTGTTTGGCTCCAAACACCAAACAGATCATTGCAGCATTACCCATAATCCCCTCTGTTTCAGCCCTGTTTCAAAAGTGCTGATTCTCTGTCTGTTACTTTAGATGAAAATAAGGAGTCCCTCCCCACGCCCCTCTGAGAGATATTTGGTTAAAAACAACAACAAAGGTGCTCTAGGAGGAGATTCGAGGTGATAAGGGGGGGGGGGGTACCTTGGTTGCTGATTGGCTAATGGTTACACAAGCCAAAACATCGTTATGACATCATAAAGTGTCCAAAATCTGATCAGCTCATTTTCAGACAGGTTTTTAATAATGGATCAGAACAAAAGTGAGCGAATATTTTTTCCTGAAACTTTCAGAATCTCTTCACACAGAGGGGACACATGTTGATGTAGAGAAGACATGAAGAAGTGGATTTTGCATAATAGGTGACCTTTCAAATCTGT